ACTCAGGGCCACTCAGTCTCTGAGCCACATCCCCAGCCCTATTTTGTATTTTATTTAGAGACAGGGTCTCACTGAGTTGCTTAGCGCCTCACTTTTGCTGAGGCTGCCTTTGAACTTGTGATCCTCCTGCCTTAGCCTCCCTAGCTGCTGGGATTACAGGCATGCATGCATCCAGAATGTTGAGGGCTTTTGAATTCACAAATTATCCAGCTTTCTCTAAAACAGCCTCTAGGAAGGACTAATATCATGAGAACCTGCAGGGTTTGGGGACTTTACATATTTTATTTGACCCTTACAGCTGCTATAACAGGTAAATCTTGTTATTCCCATTTCACAGTTGAAGAAACCAAAAGTCAGATCACAGAGCAAGTGAATGGGCTGAGCCTTCCAACCAACAATGATAACCACTGTCAACCATTTCAAAATGGAAAATTAACATATAGCAATTTATAATGTGATTTTTATATATGTTTCGATATCTTGTTCTCACAACCATCTTTTTAAAAATGAGCAAAAAAGTATGCAAACAGCTGGACAGAGTGAATTTTTTTTTTTGGTACTGAAGATTTAACCCAGGGGTACTTTATTATTTTAATTTTTAAATATTTCATTTATTTATTTTTATGGGGTGCTAAAAATTGAACCCAGTGCCTCACACATCCTAGGCAAGCTCTCGGCCACTGAGCTAAAAGCTCCAGCCCCTTTTTTTATTTGGAGATAGGGTCTCACTAAGCTTGCTAAGTTGCTGAAACTGGCCTTGAACTTGTGATCCTCCTGCCTCAGCCTCCCTAGTCATTGGGATTATAGGCCTATGCCACAGCATCTGGCTAGAGTGAACTTTTGAATCCAGGGTTTCCAGACAATTCAGGGTCTACACACTTGCCTCCCATTGCCTCTTACCAAGGAAAGTTCAGTCAAAGCCAGCACATTGTGTTCTGAGCTTGCCCAGAAGTCCTCGTCAGGTGAAGAAGACCAGGGCAGAAATCCTTAAGTCTCCCCCACCCCTAGCTCCAACACACACTACACCTAACCTTCACTCTCCCAATAAAGTTGACCTTAATTCAAAATCCAGCACTAATACACAATAAACTGCTAACAGGGTTCTAGAGACACCTGGTAGGGGTTCATCTTGCTGTTCCTTTTATACTATTTGAATTACCTATTCAAAAAAGGGTTTTTTTTTTTTTTGGTGTGGGGGTGGTACTGGGAATTGAACCCAGGAGCACTTAACCATGGAGCCACATCCCCAGCCCCTTTATGTATTTTATTAGAGACAGGATCTTGCTGAGTTGCTTAGGGCCTAACTAAGTTGCTGAGGCTGGCTTTGAACTCGTGATCTTCCAGAGCAGCTGGGATTACAGTTGAGAACTACCATGCCTGGCTTAAAAAATTTTGACGACCAAAAAAAAATCTGCTTCAGCTAACTTCCAGCAAAGACAGGAAGAAAAAGCATGTGTCCCACAGGTTAACCGAAACTGCTAGGGATTAGAGGGGAGGGAGAGAGGTTTGTGCTATTAATACCATGCTCCCAAGGAAAAAAAAAGAAAAAGAAAAACTTCCTCACAATTCTTTCTTCCTATCCAGACAGGCGACTCCTTGTTGCCAACAGGCAGTGTTCCCAAATCCTACCTCTCTGGGCCTTGGCCCCCATCCTCCAAGACAGAGGAATCAAATCTGAGTTTACTAGCCAAGTAGGGACCCTGAAAAATGTGTAATGGAAACAGTGACACACTGCAGGCTTCAAGTTGACCTTACTGTTCCCAAACCACAGAGCCGCAGGGTGACTCTCGAGTTCTCAAATTGGGTTTTGATCCTTCCCTCCCTGGGCCCCATGTGGATAAAAGGTGATGTGGTTCTCACAGCACTAGGCTCAGCCACTCCCTGCCAGAGGCTGGAATCCAGACTCATTTCCCAGTTTGAAACTTGGGGCTTCTCCCCCATTCCTTCCAGCAACCTTTTTTGTTCTAGGAATGGCAAGCCTTCATTCATTCATTCAGCTCATACTTCCTAAGCACCTACTACACACCAGCCTGTGTTCTAGAATCTGGGACTCAGCACTCCTACTCAGGGAGCTCACATTCTAGCAGAGCCCCTGGTGTGCTCCAGACCCTGAGGAATACCTGCGCCTAAGAGCCTCCAGCCTTGGTGTTTTGTTTTTGTTTTTTGGTACCAGGGATTGAACCAGGAGTGCTGCACCACTGAGCCACATCCTCAGCCCTTTTTATGTTTTATTTTGAGACAGGATCTTTCTTAAGTTGCTAAGGACCTCACTAAGTTGCTGAGGCTGGCTTTGAACTTGTGGTCCTCCTGCCTTAACCTCCTGAGTTGCTGGGATTTCAGGTGGGTGCCATCACAGTTAGCTTAAATGTTTTTATGGAAGTATTCATATGCTCAGAGTCAAGTGCAGTGGTGCATGCTTGTAATCCCAGCAACTTGGGAGGCTCAGTGATTTGGCAAGACCTTTATCTGAAAATAAAAAGGGCTGGGAATGTATCTTAGTAGTAGAGCCTCTCTGGTTCAGTTCCCATCACCAGGAACAAAAAAGCTACAGAAAACTGTATTATCAAAAGTATATGGGGGGCTGGGGATGTGGCTCAAGCGGTAGCACGCTCGCCTGACATGCATGTGGCCCAGGTTCGATCCTCAGCATCACATACAAACAAAGATGTTGTGTCCGCCGAAAAACTAAAAAATAAATATTTTTTAAAAAAATTCTCTCTCTCTCTCTCTCAAAAAAAGTATATGGGCTGATGGTAGAATGCTTGTCTCGAATGCATGAGGCCCTGGGTTCAATTCCCAGCACCACACACACACACACAAAAAAAGTATACAGTTAAGGGCGAGGGTATAGCTCAGTTGTGGCTAGGCACTGGGTTTGAGCTCTAGCATCTCAAACAAAACAAAACAAAAAAACATAGTCTACAGTACAAAGTACCAACTGAGTATACCTGTGTATTTAGCATCCAGATCAAGCACAGAACAGTTCCAGCATCTCAAAAGCCTCCTCATCCTTCCCTCCAGTTAACTATCCTGCCAATTAGGTAATTACTTTCCTTACTTCTTAGCAGCACACATAAGGTTTTGCCTGTTTTTGTTTTGTTTTGTTTTTGGTACTGGGGATTGAATCCAGGGGTGCTCAACCACTGGGCTACATTCCCAGCCCTTTTTAAAATTTTTTGAGACAGGGTCTTGCTAAGTTGCTTAGGGTCCAATAAATTGCCAAGGGTGAGGGTGGGTTTGAACTTGCTGCAGTCCTCCTGCCTCGGCCTCACAAGATGATGAGATTACAGGCCTGCACCACTGCACCTGCCTAGTATGTGTGTGTGTGTGTGTGTGTGTGTGTACTGGGGATTGAACCCAGGGGCACTCAACCACTGAGCCACATCCCCAGCCCTTTTTATATTTTATTTAGAGAGAGGGTCTCATTGAATTGCTTAGGGCCTCAATAAGTCGCTGAGGCTGGCTTTGAACTTGCAATCTTCCTGCCTCAGCATCCTGAACTACTGGGATTACAGGTGTGCGACACTGTGCCCAGCTTTTTAATTTTTTTTTGGTAGTTGTAGATGGGCAGCATGTCTTTATTTTATTTGTTTATTTTTGTGTGGTGCTAAGGATCAAACCCAGTGCCTCACATGAGCTAGGCAAGCACTCTGCCACTGAGCTACAATCCCAGCCCAGAAACTTTTGTGAGATCCATTTCTCTAGTGTATAATTACAGATTTTCATTGCTGCACAATACACCATTATGTGATTATAACATATTTATCTACCCATTCTGTGGTTCATGGGCATTTTGAGTAGTTCCCAGTTTTTTGGCTATTGCAAATAGTGCTATGAATACTCTAGGACAAGTATTTTGGTACACGTTTCTGTGGACTTTCCATGGAATTGCAGTCATAGTGTATTCGTAGGTTTGGCTTTAGACGATATTGTCAGCTCTCCAGAGTGATTTGAACCAATACACTAGCAGACTTAGAGTTTTAATATTTTTAAAATCAAGATGTCCAACGATGGGTTTTGTTGTTATTTTATTTTTGAGTACCAGTGCTCGACCAATGAGCCACATTCCCAGTCCTATTTGGTATGTTAGAGATATGAGTTGCTTATTAGCACCCCTCTTTTGCTGAGGCTGGCTTTGAACTTGTGCTCCTCCTGCCTCAGCCTCCCACTCCTCTGGGATTACAGATTTGTGTCACTGAGATCAGCATGTTTTGTGTTTAGTCAACTTTTTATTTTTGTTGTTGCAGTGTTGGAGATGGAACCCAGGGCCTCACCAATGCTAGGCAAAAGCTCTATCACTGACCAACATCCCAGCCTTATTGCCTTTATTAATATTTTCATCTCACTTGTCATTTCAAATACCTCTGTAGAGAGGTAATGTGGTGAGGGAGGCAGACTGGGGCATGACAAGTATAGACAGAAGTTCAATACTGGAAGGGCAGGCAAGTAATGCCTTAGAAGTAGGTACCACTTGAAAAAGAGGCTAAAAGTGAGAATTTTTTTTTTTGACTCTTTAGAGAGAAGTCAGCAATCTGGATTTTAAAATTTTGCAATTAATAGTTTTGGAAAACACCATACTGGCCGAATAAAACTTGTCAGCAAGCCAGCTGCCCAGCCCTCAAGTTATGAACCCCTGAACTAGCCCTTAGGGATTAGTTTCCGGTGCAGGAGTTGGACCTGCAGCAAGTCACCTAGCTATTTAGAGTTTAATTTCTTCTCTAGTCATAAGGGCAAAATTAAAAGCCTATCCATTTGTAGTAATGCTCAAATAAACTAATTCCAGAGCAAAGGAATTGTGAGACACTGCGCTGTATAAAGTCGTCCTCCATCTCTTTACCAATCCTTCCTTTGTCACGTAGTCTCACTCTGCTTAAAGCATTCCGGGGAATTCTCCGTTTCTCGATAGGCAGTTTTAAACTGGAGAATTCCTACGCATGCAAATTTTAAAACGTACTTCGAATGGGATCCCTGCTGGGATGTAAGGAGTTAAGAGGAAATGGCTTATTAGGGTCTTGCTAATCCAAGAAGTCTAGGACCTCAAAAGTCTCTAGATTGCCTCCAAAATCCACGATTCCAAGAAGCTAGGATGGTTGACTGACCGAGGGCCTGTAGGACCCTCCAGTAACTGTATTGAGAACTTAGAACGGCCATCAGCATCCCACGGTCCGCTGGACCAAGGCCCTGGCAAGGCGCACACAAGACAACTCCGGAGCTCCGTGAACCAACCCGGGATACCCAGGTGAGGCGTGTCCTCACGGCGCCGTTAGTGGTCCTCTCACACTGGAGGCACTGCCGGCTGGGGACCCCCGTCCGCAAATCAAGCTAGAAGACTGAACCGTGGGGGAACGAAGTGTGCTCCCACGCCGGGTCCAGACTCCACACGGGCGGGTCCTACCCGCGCAGTCCCCCCGGTGGGTCCGGGACCGCCCTGGAGCGTTCGCGGACCCAGCAGCGGAAAGTTGGCGCTCGCGCCGCACCCTGTGCGCTCCGGGGCGCCCCCTCCTACTCCAGCGCGCCCTCTCCTACTCCAGCGCCACGAGCAGCTCGACCCCTGCTCACAGGCCGCTGCGGGACGCCCCCGCCCCCACCGCAGCGTGTAGTGCGCAGGCGCTTCCCCGCGGGTCCCGGCGGCGGGAGCGGGAGGCGGCGGCGGCGGGAGCGGCTTCAGCCTCGGTTGGAGACTGAGGCGAAGGCAGCGGCGACAGCGGAGGAGGAGAGGCTAGGGTGGCGGCGAAGGCGATGGCGACGCGGGGCACATGAGGCGGCGGCCGGCGGGACGGGCCGAGGCCCGGCGGAGGAGGCGGCTCCGGGGGAACCCGCCGCCGGGTGAGGGGCGGCCGCAGAGCCGGCTGAGGGGAAGCGGGCCGGGGCGGGGTCCGGTGGAGGCGGGAGAACTCGTGGGGAGCTCGGAGAGGGCCCGAGGAGATCGGGGGCCCGAGGAAGAGCGCGGCCGGCCCCGGGGTGGTGGGGGCGGGAGAGGGGCGTCGCCGAGGGGTTCCTGCCGAGCCCGGAGAGGCGTCGCCGCCCGCGTCCTGCCGCTGCCCCGGGCGCGCCCTCCCTCTTTGTCCACAGGCGCGAGGTTCCCAAATTGGGAGGGAAACGGCTCGGGGACCGTCCCGGAGCCGGGGCGGCGTTGGAGCGCACTTGCGCGGCGCCCGGGCGTGCTCGCAACTCCTCCGAGCGGTTAGGGGCGCAGGGCGGCGCCAGGGCGGTCCGCCGCCGCCCGGCGCTTCGCGGGCTGCTCTTTGTCTGCCCGACCGCGGCCCCTGCCATCGCGGCGTGCGGCGTGCGGCTTGCGGGTTCGTTTGGCTCCTTGTCTAACATCTCCCCGCACGTCTCCCGCCTCCCTCGGAGGGTTTGGAGGAGGTTTAGCTCGAGGGCTGGAAGCGGGAGAGAGGCGGACGGGAGGACTGGGCTAGTCGCCTCTTGATGGATGCGTTTTCTTTACTTAAAAGGACTTTTCCCCACTTCGTGAAACTTTGGAGCATTGCTTTTCGTTGTTTTTTTTCTTGAGTCTCCAGATTCAGAATTGAGAGAAGGCGCTAACGCTGTGATTATGGGCTGGTGGCTGCGCTTGGAGCTTTGAAAGATTTACATGGACTGTGTGGTTTAGAATTTGATTTCTCCCGCCCTTTTTTGGGGGGAGGGTGGCGTTTGATTGGGATTGTTTTACCTTTGCGAAATAGGAAGGTGTTTTTGTTCGTTGAGAGCTGGCAGTGGTACTGATTTCTTTGTGCTTATGCTTCATTTTATTAGCATCAAGACTAGGTGAAATTGAGCTAACAGGTTAGAATAAGTTCTGGGAAAGTGTTGTCTTGTTTGCCTATTAAGTCTGAAAGTATTGTTTATGTTGTGTAACACGTGCATGTGAATATATATGAAAGTGCTATAAAACCCAAAAACTATGTTAATAAAGGAGTTTTAATTCTCTGATAAACAGAAAACATCCCGAGGACATTAATAGCTGTAGAATAAAAGGATTAATAATGTAAATTTGGAGTCAAATCCTTTTTCCCCTAAAGAGATTTTGGATGTTATTCAGAACAGAATGCAGAAACAAAAAACCTAATTTCAGAGCTCCTGGCTAAAAATATTTTGAACTGTGATTAAATTTGCCGATTTGTTTTGGGGAGAGGGAATTTATATTACATTTGCTTTGAATTTCTTAAGCGTTGTATAGTGGCAGAATGAAAGAAACAACGAACTAACTCTTCCGTGCAAAAGGTAAAAAGCTCTGGTAAACAAATCTGTGTCTTGGTTTACTTTGTGCTCTCAGTGCTGTACGCAAAGTACTTTACAAAGAGAATTACTTAGAAATTATGTGGAAGTTTTGTAAATATGTGAACTGATTTGTAGTGGCTTGATATTATTTACTACTTGTCTTAAACTGTTGTGCATTTTTCCAAAGCATTTTAAAAAAGATTAGCACTTTAACTTAAGCATGTTGTATAATTTGAGAGTTGGTTTTCTACTTGTTTAGCTAACCCTCCATGATTATATTTTTTTTCATTTCATGGAGTTTGAATTGATTTTAGCCTTTATTTTTATTTTTATTTTTTGAGAGAGAATTTTAATATTTGTTTTTTAGTTTTCGGCAGACACAACATCTTTATTTGTATGTGGTGCTGAGGATCGAACCCGGGCCGCACGCATGCCAGGCGAGCGTGCTACCGCTTGAGCCACATCCCCAGCCCCTGATTTTAGCCTTTAATCCAAAGGATTTAATAAATTAACTTATCTTAAGCACAACAACTGCTCTTATCTTTTGTTAATTAATTTTATATTTGTATAATTTGGCCAAAGGGAAGGAATGCAAGGTTCTGTCTTTGATTATCTACAGCCCCTTCCTCTCAGCTCCAGGCTTACCCATCAAATCAGTAGTTGGGATCTTAGAATATAAGATATGTAATGAAAATCCAGAGCATCATTCTCTCAATAAATACATAGTGTTTGTTTCTTGCTTAATTCAGTGCAGAGTGATGTGTTCTAAAAAACTGTTGCTTTATTTGAAGTTCTTATTTCCCTTTTCTTTTTGTGATACTGTGATTTGAACCCAGGAAGATGCTACCACTGAGCTGCATTCCCAGCCTTTTTTTGTGACAGGATCTTGCTAAGTTACTGTGGCTAGACTTAAATTCATGATCCTCCTGCCTCAGCTAGGCATGTGCTGTTGTGCCCAGTCCAGTGCATCCTATTGGGGGGGGGGTAGTTCTCAGTTTTATTGACTTTTTCTGCTTATGAAAATATTGCATACTCTTCATTCAGAAAACTTACAAGCTGGGTATGGTGGTGCTCTCCTGTAATCACAGCTGACTTCCACTCAGTGGAAGAGAACCCATGTGTTAAATCTTCAGTATCGAACCCCACCCCCAAGAAAAAATTAAATGAGAAAAACGATTTAGAAATAGTTGTTATAGTTAGAAAAGGGTGACCTGAACTAGGATGGGGATAAGAGTCTGACCTTGGTAAATTGTAGAAATGAAACATTGAAGTTCTAGGTTTAGAGCAAGAGAGAGTTCAGTTTGTAAAACTCAATTTAAATTACTTCTGAGTATCTCAGTGGAAACCCTGAACAGGTAGCCAGTATTTAAAAAAAAAAAAAAATCCAGGATCCTGGTGTCTCAGCCTCCCAAGTTTCTGGGATTATAGGCATGTGATACTCAGCCTAGCTCCTTATTCAGTCACATTCAAACTCACGTCCTTTCTCCCTCCCCCTCCCCCTCCCCCTCCCCCTCTCCCTCCCCCTCTCCCTCTCCCTCTCTCTCTTTTGTACTCGGGTTGAACCCAGAAGGTCTTTACCACTGAGCTACACTCTCCAACCCTTTTATTTTTTATCTTGAGACGGAGTCTTGCTAGATTGCTGAGGATAGCCTCAAATTTATGATCCTCCTGCCTCAGCCTTCAGAGTCACTGGGATTATAGGTGTGTGCCACCACTCCCAATCCTTATTCACTTTTATTATTATTGTTTAAACTTCTATGAGATATTTGAGACAGGAAAAGTTGTAACGAACACCTGTGAAGAAAACCTGTGAATAGATGAATAAAAGAACAGACATAGACATAGTGGAAGCGGGCAGACAAGTTGGAGCAGAGCGAAGAAGAGTAGAAGTGAACTCTAAGTTCCGCTCTTGCTGAGTTTTTTGTATTTAACTCAAAAAAAGTTAAATACCACCGTTACCATGACTACATTCTAATTAGTATTTTTTTAACCCCGAGTGCTGGCTGAGGACATTGCTAAGGAGACCAGATAGTGCACCTGCATAGTTATCCTAGTAGCTTCAAGGAGGGGAAACTGCTGGGTATTCCAAGCCTGGGAAACAGGGTAAACTTGTGAAGAACATTGCTATGGCAGCTGGGCATCCTGTGATTTTTGCACAGGAGTTTCCTAGTAGCCAGGTATATCCCAGTAGCTGGGCATTCTGTGTCTTTGCACAGAAACTTCCTAGTTACCAAGCATGTCACGATCACCAAGTTTGTCAGAGACCCCAATCCCAAACACAGAACTCCTCCAAAAAGTAATGAATAATACTATGATGAATATTTGTGTGTCTATCTTATTCAGGAAAGATGTTATCATTATAGTTGAAGTCCTGTTTTTCTACCGATTGGATCTTCTCTCCCATACCCCATTATAGGTCTCCTTATTGAGCTAATCATCAACTTGATTTATTATTCCTTTGCATTTCTTTATATTTTTGTTATATATTTTGCATTTCTTTATATTTGTGTGTGTATAAGCAATATACCATCACCTACTTTTTTATTTTTATTTTTTTTATAGTACTGGGGATCAAACCCAGGATACTTAACCACTGAGCTACTACCTTTTTATTTTGTATTTTTTTTGTACTGGGATTGAATCCAGGGATGCCCTTCCACTGAGCTACATCCCTCACCCTTGCTCTTTTGAGACAGGCTAAGTTGCCTAGGCTGGCCTTGAATTTGCAATCCTGCTTCATTCAGCCTCCCTGGTCACTGAGATTATAGGTGTATGCCACTGTTCCCAGCTAGAATTGTCCTTTTAAAGTAAATCTAATCAAGCACTTTATCAGAAAACTTACATTGCTTTTCCTTTAAAGCACTGAATCTTTATTTAATGAGGTGTGATTTGACCTTGCCTATTTTTTCCAGCATCATTTATTTTTACATTTTTTCTTACTCTGTGTGATCTAGCTGTACTGATTTTTTTTTTTTTTCAATTCCTGTTCCTTGAAAGTTCAAAACTCACCAAGGGCCC